AGCTACCGAAAAAGTCTCTCGCACCGACTCCTCCATAGACTCACGCATTAGGATAATATCTCTCAACCTCTTGAGGTTCCGGTCCGTTACCCCATGAAGGACAAGGTCCTCGCTCCGCTCCTAGAAGACCCGCACGATCCGGCGGGAACGTAGAATCGAGCCAAAGGTTGTTGGCCCAGTGCTAGTTGACAAAGTTAGCTCCCCTTCAAGAAGGGCGAGGGCTCTTGTGACTGGTGATGGACTCACATCATTCGAGATGGACATGGTCAGAACCATGGGGCGTCGTAGGGCCTCATTGTGACGCGAGTAGCCGCCAACTTGAGCGAAATACTCGGGATCTTGGAAGTTCGTGGGCAGAGCTTTGCAGTACTCAGGACTTAGGCCACTGGTGTTTGGAAATCCGGGATAAGATGCCGCGGGTGTTTCGATTCTCTTTCCATCTTGGACGAAGAATTGCCTGACATTTTCTTCAGAGAACTGTGTCACTACACTGTTCATATCATTCGTATCAGCAGTCACTCATGGATCTTGTGCGACTCTGGAAAAGACAGTATGGTCGATGCCATCGGAAGTTTCTTACGTGAATTTCCTACTTGTATCCACGGTCTTGAACTTGCCGTAGAACTCCATCTCGTCAAGTCTGTATGGATTGTAGTCGCATCCGAACTTGTCGCATAGAACTTGACCCGAACCCCCTGTGTTGGCAGCATCACAGTCCGTAGTTTGGCAGACCTCATAGCCAGTGTCGACGCAAGGTTTCGAGATCATGGAATATGAGTGAGCATTGGAGTTCCTAGAAGTTTCGAGACATGCTTTTAGTCCTTTCTTCTGATAAAGCGTACCAAGATCCTTACCAGACGTCAAATTCAGCACAGCAAGCGCCGTTATTCCCTGTTCCACGGACCTGGTCTGTCTCTGAGGGCACCCAACCCTCGACGTTTGCCTGCATCAGTGAGCTCAGTCAGTTGAGACACAAAATGAAAGATGCCAAATAAACATGATAACGTAGATACTCACCTTTCCCCCGACGAACCGATTACTCCTCGGGCAACTCGCATCACAATATCCAGTCCCGTACTTCGCCCCCGCCTCATTAGTAGGATACCTCGCCATGCCACCATCAGGCTCCATAGCCACAAAGTACAACGCACTGTTGATAGCACACTCAACAGACGACAACTCAACATCAAAAGCGAGTTCACTCCCCATCAGCACAAAAGTCTGATACCGGTCCGTCCCACCCGGCTCCAACAAAAAGATGCGCGAGTTGACGTTGGAAGAAAAGGCATATTGCGTCACAAACTTTTGCGACAGGGTGTTGCCCCCAGTGGTGATGCCGTACCCGTCTCTATAGCTCTGCGCGTCTGCTCCCTCGAGGGCGCAGGTTAATGTGCAGGAGGCGGTCGTGTTGCACTGCGCGAGGTCCCATTGGTTGCCGGTGTAGCAGTTGCTGATGCTGTTTTCGTTGCGGATCCAGCGCCATTCTGCGTCGAGAACGACTTCTGCGTCGATGGTGGAGCAGAAATTGGTTCCGTTGGGGGATTTGCTGCAGTTTTGCCAGGAGAGTTTTGGGTGTTGTTCTTGGACTAGGTTGCCTACTTTCTGAGCAGCCGCCACGGTTGCGAGGGCGAGGATGATGGTGGGTAGAGGATGCATAGTATTCCACTGGAAATAATGATATTGAATGCTTGTGGGACGATGAAGACAATTGTCAGATTGAAGGCAGCAAAGTAAACTTTCTACCAGTTAGCTAGAGATTCATGGGTTCTTTATGTACTAGCCAGCTGGATATTTGGATAGTTTGTCTCGAAGTTGTACTATCATTGCAAAAGACATATAGAAAGAAGTATTTCTACAACCACAGCAGGGAATTAAATCAGATTAGAGTATCGATGTGGTCATCAGGAGGACCAGTGCAGCTCGTAAATGTGAGGTGCCGGAAGGTGCTCCTCCTTGCGGCGGACACCAACGGAAATACGTTCTCGGCAAAGCTCAATCTAACAAAATGGTGTGTTGGCTGCTGACGGAGGATCCGGTTGAATATAGGAGAGAGCCGTTGCTGACGCATCATGATCTTGTAGAGGGCCCAAACTTATCGGGCGTCGCAACCTGCAGGTCGGTCCTAACATGGTAGTCTTTGGATTCGTGCTACATGAAGATGCTACTCGAGGAAAACTCCTGAATACGGTCTCAGAGGAGGGAGAAAACGGACAGATGATTTCGAAATGAGGTTGCTCCGCTACTGGTAGTACAGTTGGGGATGACCCCGAGTTGGGGGGGGTCCCGGGCGACGCTGACCGGAAAAGTGGACCGCCTCAGCACCAGAGCCCGGTGAAGTGGAGTTTGGGTGATCGGCGAGCGGGAGTTGGCCGAGGCCGGAAAATACGTATCATTCCCGCACTGCAAAAGGTAAGGTATCTCCCGATCCACTGAGCTTTGAAAGTGTGTGTCAGCCGTTGGCTTGATCTCTATCCCCACTGAAATTCGCCTTTCGAGCGAGCGCGCTTGCCTCTAAGTTATTCTTGGGACTCGAAGCCAGTACCTGAGTATTCGGACTTTCTATTCAACTAGAGCATGTATTGCAATTGTTCCAATCTACCTAATCATGGGACCCCCCTCTGTCCTCTAGATACGCTCTCCCTTTTCATTAAACCTCTGAACCTCTCCTGTGAGAAGAGCGTCCTGCAAAGCGCGGCCAATCTCCATAACCTTGACACCCTTCTCAAGAGGCAGCGGAACTGGCTTGTTCCTGAGAACCGACTCAGTGAACTCATTCGCCTCCAGCGCAAAAGCGTCTTCAAAGCGCTGCCAGTACTCAGGCTGCACCTCATTCCGGATACCAAGCTTATCCGCGACAACGACATTATTGGCCCTCGGCACAACATTCACCGAGACTTTCCCCTCAGTGCCCGTGATCTCGGTACACACGTCGTGACCGTGAGCCTGCGTGCGCGAGCAGTAAAAGTAGGCAATCTTGCCGCCCCAAAACTCAACGATGCCGACGCCGTTATCGACGTCGTTCATCTGCGCCAGCTCCGGGTGGTGCTGCAGCGTGCCCGTCGCCCAGCACGACTTTGGAATCGGGTCAGAGAGGTACCACAGCGAGAGGTCAATGTCGTGGATGGCGCAGTCGACAAAGATGCCGCCGTTGCGCGGGGCGTAGCGCACGAAGAAGCCGGTGTTGTCGAGGAGGTCGCACGTGTTGGAGCGAACGATGAAGGGGCTGCCGATGGCCTTGTTGTCGAAGATCTTGGTGGCGGCGTCGCGGTAGGAGGCGTCGAAGCGGCGGGAGAAGCCGGCCATGACTTTGAGGTCTGGACGGGCTTTGGCGGCGTCGACGCAGGCTGCGATCTAATATGACGGAGAGAGATTAGCCCAAGGACCGGGAATTATGTCTGTCAGGTCGCAATGGGACGAATGCTGATCGTACCTCATCCATCTTCGTACTCAAGGGCTTCTCACACAGCACGTGGAGACCCTTCTCAATAGCTGCTAATGTTTGGCTTGCGTGGACATCGGTGCTGGTGGAGATCCACACAGCTTGAAGCCCCGGGTGGCAGAGCATCTCCTCATACGAGCCGTACACTGTGACGTTGAATTCCTTGTATTCCTCAAAGGAGCGCGCCCACTCCAGCTCGTGGGCTTCGGTACTACAAACTGCCACTACAGAGGCTCTCGGGACGCGGTAGATGAGGTTCTGAACATGGCGACGACCCTATGTTTGTTGTCAGCCGAGGCTCTTTCATTCGTGTTATCGTGACGAATAAGAATTTCTGACCATTCGTCCTAGTCCTGCGACTGCGATCCTCAGAGGTTCCATAGCTACTGATATGTTGCGAATGCGTCAAATTTCGGGTGTTTCGAGGGAGAAGGTCTGGCGAGTTGACTTTTTGATGGTGCGATCAAGCCTCTGGACTTCATCTTTGCAGATTCCATGCTATTTATCCTCCATGAATCCATTATCATCTGCTGCTCACGGCAAGAGGAATATGAATTCCGTCGAGAACCCGCCAGGAAACATGTCGAGATGCCTCTGCGACGTATCAACGCGAACGACTTCGCGTAGACACTTCCTCTTCTGACAAAAAGGGAGAACAAGACGCGAGCACAACTCTCGATGGTGCATAAGGTGCGAGGGCCCCAACTCCCCCGCATCATGGGACTACCTTCTTCCACGCCGTCTGAAGAAAACCGATGAGATGATAGAGCGGATAATCTGGGGAAATGGTCCAGTTGATCCCTCTTGAGGGGCCAGTCTGGTCTGTCTGCCAGCGTGTAAGTCGTTGGAGTTCTTTCGGCCATTACTCGGCGCAGCCGCCCCTTCCCCCGCGTACGGGGATGCATGATGGATGTGTGGAGGAGATTGGGGTGATGAGGGGAAAAGGGCGGGCCGGTCGTCGATCAGTCCAAGACCATCGCCGACGCCTACCAAAATAGGTAATTTCGTCTCCGTCCTCCAGGGAAAGCGAAGTCTGGCTAGAAAGTGTGGCGTTTCAGGAGCAACCCAATGACGAGGGGTGAAATGTAAGCGGCGTCTCCAAGATTTGTGTAGTCGGATATCTGCCGGATTGTGAGTGCCGTATCTTCTCTGTCCTTGGCCGGTTCCTTCAAGTTCCTATGGCTGAAAGGAAGAATTCCAGGTTGTGCCGCGATTCAAGTCAGTTAATGTGTTCCTGACATGTATGAACGTGCCAATTTCGGCCAGGAACCCGCATCCTGCTGAGACAACACAAGGTTCAAATGGCTCAGTGTTGCCATAGCCTGCCCTTTCGCTGGCCACTCAATAACGCCACATTAGTGCCATAGGTAATTCAAAGGTCGTTCTGATCAGTGTAAATCACTTCAGGGGAGAATACTTGTGAGTTTGAAGTGGTATCTTGATATTCATATCCCATAGCCCGTAATCGTACTAGTAAATGTACAAACGTGATCAAAACAAAAGCCTGCCTAGAGTGATGCCATGAGAAACGCCTCCCGTAACTAGATGTTGCTATGCTTGATCAAACAGAGTACTTGGCTCCCCCAACACCAGCACCGCCTTGCGGTTGCGCACGCTGAGCGAGAATCTGCTGCCTGATGATATCCTTCTCCTCCTGCGCAGAAGTATCCTTGAAAACCTCGTCCATCTGCTCTAGCGTCCTGCCCTTGGTCTCCGGGACGAGGAAGAAGGCCCAGACGGAGGAGAGGAAGCACCAGGCTCCGAAGAAGACATAGGTGCCGAACCCGAGCTTGTCCATCATGGGCGGGGTCGCGACGCCGACGATGAAGTTGAAAAGCCACACGGTTGCGGTAGCCAGGGCGACACCTTTGGAGCGGTGTGAGTTGGGATAGACTTCCGCCGGGAGGGCCCAGCCCAGGGGGGAGTAGGAAACTCCATAGAGGAGAACGAAGAGGAAGGCCATAGCGACGGCGGCCCAGCCCGCAGCGGTATTGGCGCTCCAGTTCTTGGAATATACACCTGTGAGGATTGCCATGATGCCCCATGAGGTGCCACCGCCCAGACCACCGAAGATTGCCAGCGGTCTGCGTCCCACTTTGTCGATAACGAAGAAGCACACGCACACGGCGACGAGCTGTAGGACGTTGAATACACCGGACATGACGAGCGCCATCTCCTCCGACTGTCCGAGGGACTGGAACAAGGTCGGGGCGTAGTATATAAACGCATTTATTCCACTTAATTGTTGGAATACGGCCACGCCGACGGCGACCGCCGTACGACGCCAGAGACGCGGGGAGAAGAGGTCCAGCCAGCCAGCGAGTTCGAGTCTCAGGCCACGCTTTCCGGGATGGTACTTCTCCTGCATGATCTTTTGCACCTCGACCTCACTAATGATGCCACGGTGCTCAGTCTGAACGCGGTGGTCGTCGGCGGGTAGTCGGCGGAGGCGGACGAGGGAGTCGAGAGCTTCCTGGGGCCTATTGACGAGGGCGAGCCAACGAGGAGAATAGGGATAGAAGAGGATGCCAATGCCGAGGCCGGTAGCGCAGACCATCTGAAGACCGAGAGGGAGACGGAAGGCGATCTCACCGGTCATGTGACGGGTTCCGTAGGTAATGAAGAAGGAGACGACGACCCCGAGGACGATGGAGACAGATTCGAGCACAAGAAGAGTACCTCGAAGGTTAGGTGGTGCAATTTCGGAAATGTAGATTGGAGAACCCTGTCATTGAGATTCGTTAGCCAGCGTTCATTCTCACCATGAGACAAGACGGATTCAAGAGAGAGACTTTAACTCACCATTGCAAGTGTTCCGACGCCAATGCCACCGATAGTCCGGCCAGTGACCAAAACTCCGTAGTTCGGCGCAGCGGTCTGCATAATAGCACCAATGTTGAAGATGACCACAACGGCCGCTAGCGCCCTCTTACGGGAAATTTTGTCGGCCAGCGTAGGCATGAACAAACACCCGAGGAACGCACCAAACTCGAGCATGCCCGTCATGAAGCCCTTGCCGAAGGGTGTTGCGGCTTGTGGGAAGACGTCGTGGAATTGCTTCATGACGTTGATGATGGAGATAACGCCCTGGTCGTAGCCAAAGGAGAAGCCGCCGAGCGAAGCCAGGAGAGCGGCGCCGCCGACGTATGGAGAATCGGCGAGGCCGCGGAAGCCACTGCGGCCGTAGGATACATCCTCGGCGGGGTTGAGGTTGATTTCGACATTGTCGATGAAGTCCTCGACGTGTTCAGGGTTGTCGAGGCTTTTGGCCTTTTTCAGGGAGTCTGAGCTGGTCGCCATGGCTGCGATCTGATGGGTGTTGATGTGTGCTCTAGGGAGGAATGAGGATGAGACCACGGGGATGAGGCAATCACAGCCGCGGAAGGTAGTATTTGAGAATGGATGATGGGGTCAGAATGGGACGAAGATCAGAAGTCAGCCGAGACGAAGAGGCTCTTATATACTAAATACTTTTCTGGGGGGCTTGGTGTTGAGGACTAGGTAGATGGACTACCAACGGGTAGCGCAGTATTAGACCGGGATACGACAAGAACCGGATTTCTGGGGAACCCCATCCGTTTACAGACTAGGGGGGGGGGGGCTTCTACAATGTTGCGTGAGTGACTGAGGGCGTCGAGGGTTCGTGCCAGGACTATCTGTCAATTTCCCGGCGACGACAGACTGCGGGCAGCATTAACGCTCTCCACCGGCAGAGTGGAACACACGGCCCTCAGGTTGCATCTCTCCCCCACGGGGAAAGGTGGAGTCTCTCTCCATGTTGTGTAAACCTTCGAGGCCTTTTTCGGCGAAGGGCATGCGGGAGGAGGGTTACGGTGGGTGGTGTGGGCGACTCGCACGCACTCGAGGCTTCGGTCTGGACGTGGTGAGCAAAGAAGGCAAACAGTGGGCTGAGAGTCAGGTCCAAGACCATCATCAAAGACAGCGAATATCTCATTGGTTAGGCCTGGGCTTGGACTGCCTGCGGGCTGCGGCTGGGCGTCATGACAGCGGTCTTTTGGCCGAAGGTTTTCCTCTTCAGGAACCCGTCGGCGATGAGGCCTTGCCCGCCCCCTCAGCCGCCCCGTGACGCTAATGTCCATTCTAAGTATAGTGCGATATTCTGACTTTCTGAGACACAAAAGGAGCCTGGACAAGGGTGCTTGGTTGGCTGGAGTTGGGGAATCGGGCGCTGAGTTGATGAGACTTTGCCAAGGGGGATCAATAATGGTCCGCCGAGCACCAACCAATGTTGTGGACTTGTTGTCAACTTGAGGAAACTGGATTGAAGCCTTTGGTTGTTCTTAATCAACCTGCTATGACGACATGGGCCCCATCTTGCCAAATATGTTGTGCTAGGGCCGGGGTCAGTCGGGATACAATCCCGCGCCCGTCGAGAGAAACCGGAGCCTCTTGCCCCCCGGGGTTACATCCTTGGAGTTCATCGCTCTGCTTTAGGCCATTGGAGTAGGTGATCACCCTTGCGGACTACATAACCCGCGGGATTCGATTTCCGACAACACGCATACCAAATGGGACCTCTTAAGGAAGGGTTCATCCCCCAGCATTTCTATGGGCTCTGAATGCGATGAGAAGACTCTACGAGGCGCCTTGGTCAACTTCCGACAAAGATCAACCAAATGTGAGTTTTGCTAGGAGTGAGTTGCCCTGTTGGAGAATCCCGCGGGTTTCTGTCCAATGCGGCGGTGTCAGATACCACCAACAACGAATCAGGGAATTTCAGGCACGAGGGTGCCAAGGACTATCCCTACTCCGATCCCGCTCGCTCCCGAATAAGTAATTTCCCGACTTGCTGCTTTCGATTTCGTAGGCCTTCCAACGTGGAATCATGGGTATATAATCTGTTCGAGTTACAATTGGTAGACGTGGGCGATGATGGGGTCGACTGGGGCTTTGAAGATGGATCATTCGGCCAAACGCCAACCAGCTGAGAGCTCAGGCTCTCGCTAATTGACATTTATGTGCTGACTGACAAGGGAAACTGAAACTACGTCATTCATTAAACAGGGCGCATTTGATTGTGGATTGCGATACTGCGATTAGAACGCGCGTGAAGACCAAAGAAATAGATCGAAGCCGAGTCAATTATTAACTCACTGGCCCCGTGACCCCGGAACCCACCCGATATCATGACAAGGGCGAGATAATGACGAAGAACCACGTTGTTTTTACTATCAAACGTGTCTAATTCGAGCACACATGCCCCCCACGCGACTATGAACATGCAAGATTTTGAAACATCGTCAATTCATCAAAGTAAAGTAGCTCTAATGTCGTCACCAAACATAAACGCGCCTACGCTCCCATCCACTACATAAGACGCGCGATTCTATGCTCATTTTACTCCATCTCGATCTCTACAGCTTAGCACTATCAATGCGCTTGCCTGACTCATCGAAATCAATCTTCTTCCCAGTGATCAAACTCTCCTGCAGCGCGCAACCAATCTTGACGGCGTTGACAGCACCGGCGAGTTTCATGGGCGGCTCGGTGTTGTTCAAACAGCATGCCGTAAACTCGTTTGCTTCGGTGATGAAGGCCTCGCGGAAGCGACCGTAGTAGTCGGGAGGGATCTCGCGACGGATACCTGTGGGCTCGTAGAGGTTGACGAGGTTCAGCTGGGGCTGTGTGTTGACGGCGACCTTGCCGCTTGTACCGAAGATTTCGGTCGTGTCTTCTTGGCCCGCGGCCATCATGCGGGAGCAGAAGAGTTGCGCAATCTTTCCACCCTGTAGTCGCATATGATTAGCTTATGTTCCATCTACCGCAAAGTCTAAGATTATCGGGAGAACTTACGTAGAACTCAACGACAGCGACGGCGTTATCCCTATCATTATGCTTTCTCAGACCCTCCTGCACAGCTGTGATACCAATAGCAGACACGCTCTTGACGACGCTATCCTCGCCGAAGAACCAAAGCGCTAGGTCAATGTCGTGAATAGAGCAATCGACAAAGATACCACCGCTGAACTCGGCGTAGTCGACGAAGAAGCCGGAGGGGTCGAGCTTATCGCAGGTCTGTGAGCGGAAGACGGAGGGCGCACCGATGTCGCCGCGAGCCACTCGTGTGAAGGCGTCTCGGTAGGATGCATCGAACCGGCGTGAGAATCCGCAGATGACCTTTTGGCTGGGGTTCTTGATGAGGGACTTTTCGTACGCCGTGACGACGGATTGCGACTGTGTGACAGATGGTAATTAGTCTCCTGACTCTGCTACTTTCAAGGGGTGGCATGGAGTGGATTCTAAGTATGAACGTACGATATCGACGCTTGTGCTAAGAGGCTTCTCGCACAGAACATGTAAGCCCTTCTCGATGGCCTTAATGGCCTGCTCGGCGTGTACCGTGGTGGCGCTGGCGACGATCACAGCTTGCAGTGTCGATTCCTTGCGCAACATCTCGTCGTAGTCGAGGTACGTTCGCAGAGGGCCAAACTCTGCGACGGCGGCATCGAGTTCAGCTTGCACCGGCGAGCTGACGGCGATGAGGTCGGCCTTTGGTGTCAGGGTCGCAAAGTGTCTGGCGTGTCGCAAACCTATTTGATTCAATTGTGGTCAGCCCATGTAGGAGTCGCTCGAGCTCAGCAGTAGAGCTTGCTTCTTCGCTGAGGTAGCTATGAGAGCTACCCCTCGGTGGAATGAGGGGCGAGACATACCCATGCGCCCGAGTCCGGCGACGGCAACGTTGAGCTTTTCTCCGGCCATGTTGTTTTGATTGCGAATATTTCAAGAATTGATGTGTTTTTGGGGCTTAAGAGAGTCAATTGAGTTTCAAATCTCGCAATTCGTCAAGGTACAGGTATGGATAAGAGGTAGAGAGACCACAGCAATACAGCTCAGCTTTCAAAGTCGAGGAGCTTTGGGTGAATACGGTCTCTTTTATCATCGGCGACTCCTGCTCTTCTTGGTTCCTTCTGGAAAGTCCCTATCAAGCCAAATGGACACGTCTGAACGACTCGTTCCAAGACACCGAACGCCATCCCAACGCCGGCGGGCAAGAGTCTCGTAGAGTCCTCCAACACCTTCGAAACTCGGCATCTCCATCGGCGCCTCTTACCGGATACGGTAATCCACTACTCTCTTCCCCAGATTTAGATCGCCTTTCCAGAGTTGGCGGCAACTTTGTGGGGGAAGAGGGCTTGGGGGTGCGGGGTAGATTGAACACATAAGACCGGTTGGTCCTATTTTCTATGAAGAGTTACACCGCATATTTTTGGTTTGGTTATTTGTCTTGTGTACTGTCCGAAGACCGAGGGCGCTTGATGCACGTTCATCTTTGTGGACTAGAGTTGTTTGTTTGCGCCGACCACGTTTCACGGGACCGGACGGATGCATCGGCGAAGCCAAGTTTCTCCACACTTCTGAGATTACTTCTTCCAGCAAGCGTCGCCGATGCTCCGCTTCCTTCTTCCACCATCTTCCTCTTCGTCCGCCTATCCTAGCCGTCGCCGACGATTTCTACTCTCCACAGCTTCTGGATCACGGACCACGAGCCAGGCGAGACTTGCCCTTCCGAGTTCGAAGAGGTAAACGACATAATATCCCCATCCCACCGGCCGGCGACGACAAGCAGGTGTCACTTTGTCAGATCAACCTGAAGAGGACCAGCAAGCTGTAGCCGTGGTCAATCTGCGTCAGCAGTGCCCCGCGCTCATCCCCGCGGGAGATGCCAAGCGCCACGAAGCCATGTGCAAGATGCAAAGGTATGTGCCCGGGCGCGCGCGTGCGCGTGTCTCCATACCCTCGTGACCTTGTTCAGGGTTCCACTGGTCTGACGTCAACTTATCTGGGGTAAAACAGAGCGACATGAGAAGTGTAAGTTGCGTAGAGTTTTATTATCTGAAGCTGTGTTGCCGGGATTGAGACTGGGGTTATGACTCTCAGTCGGAAACGATCCTAGTTCACAACCTTGGGCAACTCATCTGAAGTCTCTCTGGGTATCTGACAATGATTCGACACTTTAGGCGATGACCAGCAACCCCGTTGTAGTAGATGCGAGAAGCGCAACGTCGAGTGCTTCCGTCCTGAGCGACGACCTTCCTTCCGCCAGGGTTCTACTGCCAACTATGACGGGGCTTTCTCCCGGGAGCAGCGCTGGGTGAACAGTCGGCCTCGAGCTTGTAAGTCTTAGCTGCCTAGAAGAGAGTCACCCTGGGGCGATGCCATCGATCTCGACATTCTGACTGGCGTATAAGTCCGATTCGACAGTCGAGCCCCGAACAGCACTCCTACGCCGACTCAGGAGAAGGACATCAGCAACGACTCTCCTGCCAGTCATGAGCCATCATTGCCAGATACTCGGGTTGCTGCGAGTGCCATCTTACACGAAACTAGTCGAAATCTTTCCGAGGCACCGGCGCTCGTGAACCATGATAGGGGGGTCGAAGACACTCTACCACCAATACCGACGCCTACTAAACGTCGAAGAACCGAGCCTGCGCCGCAAGATGGTGGACACTTTTTTCCTGCTTCGCCAGCTGGGTCAGGAGCATCAGGGGCCTCTCCCTGGTCAAACACAGCTTTGTCAACTGGGAGAGTGCGATTGAGAGAAGACGAAATATCAATTCACAGTCCTCATGCCGTACCTCAAAGCGTCGACCACTTTTCTCCTTCCGCCGGAAGTTACCACACCACGACCCAAGACCATGATCTCGTAGGGAATATACCAAATGCTCCACTACCCGAGGGCATCCAAGAAGCTTGCCTACTGCGGTACTTCGTAGAAGAGCTATCTCCATGGGTTACGTGCCACACAATTGCAACGGTACCTAAGAAAGTACAAGTGTTAACCTTTTCTCGCGTGTAGTTCGACCTCTGCGACGAAGAGAGGCACTTCCAGCTCGTCGTTGTGAGGCGCGCACGCTCGTGCCAACCTCTACGCGACGCCATCTTCGCCGTCGCAGCGCGCCATTTATGTCGACATCCCAAGTTCCGGTCAGAGCCAGGGGGCGGTGGCGTCGTTGTCTACCAGCGCCAGCTTCTTCCTGACCTGACGCCGCAAAGTGCCTTCGAGTATATGCTCCGCTGCATACCCGCCCTGCACGAGGTCTCAAGCACGCAGGACGAGGAGTACCGCGAGAACCTGGCTGCCGCAGCGCTCATTCTTCGTCAGTTTGAGGAGATGGATCCCGAAGAATCTCAAAGCGCGCCGAATTCAGATTTTGGGACCGCGAACGGGGACGGGAATGAGACAAGTTATGGCAATGCGAATAGCAATGTCAACTTTATCGATATCACAAAGGCAATTTTGAGGGCCGCTCCGTCATCGCGATGGTCTGGACTTTTGAGCGCCGTGTACTGGGTGGCGGTGAGGCAGGAGATTTACTTTGCGCTCACGCTGGGGCGATCGCCCCAGATCACGGCAAGGCCGGACCAGGGCCGTGAAGTGTCGTTTGCTAATCGGTTGATATGGTTTATGTCGGAGGTGGCCAAGTGGAAGATGGGAGACAGGATCGAAGGGGAGTGGGGTAAGTCTTTCACTTGTGCTTTCCTGAGAGACCCCAAAACGTCTGGGGCCGAGCTTTACTCCATTACGATGACTGACATATACCGTCCAGAGAGACTGAGGGTTGAAGAGGGCATCCTTGCAGTCGAATGTGCGCGGCAGTTTATACCCATAATGCAGAGGCCAGCGGACAGGTCTCAAGGCGAAATATTTCCCTTGGTCTGGTACGGTTCCGATGTGGAAGTTACTGCGCTACAGCATTTTATCTTGGCAAGGATGATTCTCCTAGCCGAAGATCCTAGTCTACAGTATGCAGACGCTTCCCTGCCTCTCAAAATAGATAGCTACTTTACACTACGCTTCTATGAATCCTTCATGCTTTTTGAGGATTATGCTGACAACTTTGGGCTTCCAGTGGACAAGTCTCCAACCGGCGAGCACATCGAGAGGCCGAACATCAAGTCCGAGAAATGACATTAGAGCTATGTGGTCTAGCAATGCATCATCTAAGAGCACCGCCAAACTTGACCACTGCAGGGATAGGGATCATGTTATACGGGGACTATTTCAACGACCAGTGGGAGAGAGCGGCATTGGTTGGAGTGCTGGAAGAGTGGAAGAGCCATCACGCTTGGCCTGTGAGAAAGGGGTACCAAGCACTCGGTGTGGACTACGTCCCATGAATGTTACAATCAAGAAACCTCTGCACGTATATCGCACACAGAGACAGCGACCGTATCTGTCGAGTGACTCTATGATACCTGTGTCGAATGAGTGAACGATAAGCTGAATTCGGCGTCCTACTTGTCTCATAGGTAGTTTAGCTGCATGAAAGCATCTATTCCAAGGTTGACATTTGCGTTGGATTGGTACTTCCGCGCCATTGACATAAAAATACAGGCGAGACTCTTCTAGCTGCTGGGAACGACATCGACAGTCCTAATTAATCAGACAGAATTCGAAAGTCGAGTCAGTCATGGCCCAGGCTTTCAATGTCAGTGATCTTCACCTAGCGCATTCGTAAAGTTGCGGATCAAGCCAAGACAATAGTTTAAGGGCAACAAAGACTGGAAACATCGATTATTCGACCGGGTAAGCCCGAAAGATCTGCAATGCGCTGTTAGATCCAACATCACTTAAGGTACATAAGGTATGCGACTTCCACAGGGATGTTGACGATCGATGTGTTGACGATGTTTGGTGCCTGACGGAAGGAAAGCTGCCAGAAACCAACTGCACTGCGTTGTCCCGATACCTCGGCTCAAGAGTCTCGTTACCCCGGTCCGGACCTACCCACTCCTGTGGTGTGACGGGCATCGCATGATCCCAAGGGCGGCATCGTGAGGTTACGCCATTTGCGGGTCTGATTGCCAATTGGGCCCAAAGAGACACGTTTAAACGAATTTCTACCAAATCCTTCATGAAACCTTAGGCCTTGGAAGTTGCAGTTCAAGAACCCAAACTGTCAGTTGCACGTGTACTCCATACTTGTGAAATCTTTCAATTTTGCTGATCCCCGGCCGGATCCGAAGAACAGTCAACCTCATTGGCGCGCGTCTTTAAGCTTCGGCAATCACCCATAAACATGGCTGGGATATCCCCACACAAATCCCCAGATCTCAACGGCAATGAACTAAGACGCGGGGAATGTAACACTGCCCTCGGCGAGCTTTTGACCGATGTGACGGCCTTTCTATGAGGTCACATTGCTGTCTGCGAAAACAAAACACACCATACGCGCCAATGATCACGGTGTCGGACCTGCATGTGCTGTCAGCTAACCCCAACGCGGCCACCCTACCGTCTTGGGGGTGGATTATCATCACTCGTTTACGAGTCACGAAATCAAGGAAAGCTTTCCTCCGAGCTTGCGAAGCTATTGATGATGATCAGGTTGACATTGTCTTGGCGTTGACATCGTATTCCCTCACTCGAAGCTCAATGTGGGCGGCGTATATAACATACCCCGCTGCTCGAGCAATGCCGTCTCTCGTCCTCCTTCAAGGCACCTGACTCTCTCGCCGTCGGCCTCGTCGTCTCTCCAATTTTCCACGAGATTAGTGTTCGAAAAATCACATCATGAAGTTCCTCGGAGCTGCCGTTGCTGGCATTGCCAGTCTGCTCTCCTACCAGGCTGTCGCGAGCCCCGTCCCAACCCCAGTTGAGGCCCGTCAAGCTACCGGAACCATTTCGAACAATGTCATCTTCTCCCCGCCATCAAACGCCGGCTGGGTCGACCCCCGCGTCTTGTACGCCCGCACCATCCAGCTGGACTCTGGCGACCTGATCGCCACCTGGGAGAACTACTCCCCCGAGCCTCCCATCGTCTACTTCCCCGTCTACCGCTCTCAAGACGGCGGAGCCACCTGGGCTGAGATCGGCCGTGTTCAGGACACTGTCAACGGCTGGGGCCTGCGATACCAGCCCTTCCTCTACGAGCTTCCGGAGGCTTTCGCTGGTTATCCCGCCGGCACTATCTTGCTCGCTGGCAACAGCATCCCGACTGACCTGAGCTTGACCAAGATCGATGTCTACGTCAGCACTGATGGCGGTGCCAACTGGGAGTTCCTCAGCAGTGTCGCCAGCGGAGGCGAGGCCCTGCCTAACAACGGCCTGACCCCCGTCTGGGAGCCTCACTTCTTGTAAGTCTGACTCGAGCTTTATCGAACCTCCATCCTGGGTATATGCTGACCGATTCTTCTTCACGCAGGCTCCACAACGGTGAGCTCATCATCTACTACGCCGACCAGCGCGACACGAAGTACGGCCAGAAGCTGTCCCACCAGACCACCACCGACCTCAAGACCTGGAGCGCCATCGTCGACGATGTCCACGATGACAACGCCTACGAGGCTCGCCCCGGCATGCCCGTCATTGCCAAGCTGCCCAACGACGACTTCATCTTCGCCTACGAGGTCTGCGGCACCGATGGCTGCCGCGTGCACTACCGCCTCACGGCCGACCCGCTTAACATCCTCGCCGCCCCCAGCATCTCGCTTATCTCCACCTCCGGCACCCGCCCCGTTAGCTCCCCCTACGTTGTCTGGTCCCCTGTTGGTGGCGTCAACGGTACCATCGTGCTTAGCGGCGGCAGCCAGTCGAACATCTTCGTCAACCGGGCTCTGGGCGATGCTAGCGCCTGGGTTGAGTATGCTGTTCCCCAGCCTAACGCTTACTCCCGTGCTCTTGCGGTGCTTGATGATGGCAGCAAGTTGGCTATTATTGGTGGTGGAAGATTGCCTCCTAGCAGCACAAATCAAGTTAGCCTTAGCGTTGTTAACCTGAACACTCTGCTTGGATTGTAGATAGTGGCTATGGAAACATCTAAGCCGTCATCTGTAGGCAGTGTAATGCTGGAAATAAAGACTTCGTCATTTGCAGAACAATCCAAGGTGGCTGAGCGTGCTTGGGTATACTTGCCTTACCTTACTTATGATATGAAATGAATGAGTGATGTAAGTATGTGGCTTTCAACGTCTCGATTGGATCGTTACCCATATGCACAAGTATTAGAGTGGCACAGGTGGCAGCCAGAGACCGGGCAGGCTTATCTCGAAACCTGGGCGGCCGGTGAGATTTAGTAACCGGGAACCATCATCCAATGGCGCAGTGGGGGACGAGCAACCACGTCATGTTCTGCCAATCATAGCTGCTTGAAGAGCATGAGTCTGACCAGAGTTTGGCTATAAAGAGGGACCATTCATCCTTGTGGGCGCCTTAAAACGGCAGACACTCCCAACAACGGTGGTCTCTTTCGGCGCCTGATTCCTTGGTTTTCTTTCCCACGCCAGAGCAGTTCATTTCACCCATTTCTATAGTAGCAAAGCGATCGCGTATCGAAGCCATTGCGTTCCCGGCATGTCTGTCGGCTTTACCTTCGGGAGTCTTGGCGACATCCTCCAGCTATGCCAAGTTGGCATTGCGGTCGGCAAAGCTCTGAGCGAGAGTCGAGGCAGTGCAAGAGATTATCAAAACCTTCGAAACGACCTTGATCAGTTTGTACACGTTTTGCAGAATGTAAGAGAAGAAAATACACCAGCTTCCAAACTGGTCAAAGGCGCTTACTAACACTAAAGTTCTTGGACTGATGAATGTACCTCTACCTAGGTCATTGCCGTATATCAGGAACGCGAGCACTCCCATTTACTTTCAGATATTAACTGGCTGATCAAGTCAGTCACAAACGAATGTATGACAGACCTGCAAGAGGCGTTGAATTATTTCCAGTCGAAGTATGCATCGTCACTTGGGAACCCGAACCGCCAAGTGAGCACGAAATCGATCGGGAAAAAGATAGAATACAGATTTCGAGAGAAAGAACGACTAGAGGTACTGCGACAGAAGCTATCTCGTTACACACAACTACTTTCTGTTCTTCTAGCCATACATACTAAGTAAAGCTCGATTTCCTCATCTACCTTGCTCCTAACTAAAAGACCGATATGCTGACTGCTGACTTGCCTTGACGTTCTGTAGGAAAGCAGCTCACGTCGATAATTCAACGATGCAAACGAGAATTAAGGAAGTTGTTTCAAGAATGGATGTACTATCCCTCGATATCAACCGACAAAGCACCCAGATCTCAGAACATCATACGAGCATAGATGTTCTGGCAACCAAAGTGGATGCTGCGAATGGCTACCTCATAAGAGAAGGAGACATAAGCAAAGTTCTGACGGAGATGACAAAAAGGAACGAACTGTGTATCAAAGAGCTTGCGAGCATGATAGAGTCCAAAATCCACCTTCTTGTCCAGGAGCGTGAAGACGAAACATGTCGCAGGTTCTTCCGTGGGCCTGGGTCGAATCCACAAAGACTTTTATTCTTTGAAGACGCACTGGGCGTTGTGCTGGTATTGCCGATTGAATGGTTAGAATCTTGGGAGGTAAGTCTCGCTCCAATATCAACAGACGGAATTGACAGCCAAAGCACCTACGGTCTCTTATTAGCAAACGCTTTGAAAACAAGATGGGTCACCAGAAAGTTCTCCGCGGCGAATACGCATTGGAAGACGAGGCCAACGGGTTTGAGGTCACGTTATTACCTTGGAACAAAGCGATACGGCCTGGGAGGAAGATTAACATGGCGATGAAGTTTCGGAGAGTTGAAGAGGGTAGCAAAGCAGAAGATCATGTCTACATCTGTCCAGGATGCCATGCGGTCAGATCCGATGCTCAGGACGACCAGATTAACCTCAAGTGGTAAATAATCCTTTGTGATCAAAGAGTTTCAGAGAGCTAAGCAAAAACAGCGCGACACCTAGCTGCGGCATGTGGATGAGATTGTCACGAACGAGGCTTGAGGGCTATCCTCAATCAGTCACATCAAGTGACTTTTCACTAACTGCTGACGAAGGTAGCAGAGAGGACGAAGATGATCCACGTCATTACCACCGAGTTCTTTTCAATATATTCGTCTTATCACCTCCCTTACCGAAAGAAACGGCTTCCCCAAAAACGATTCCCTCTTTGGAGGAGTGCGATTCATCAAAGGAAAGCCCCCGCAAAGGGGAGAGGGGTCCCATTTCGAGGACGGATTCTCCTTATCTGTCTAAGATAGTTCTCTCATCACATCCAATGAATCGATACGCAAGGAAGATCGCTTCATCGAGGAGGCGGGTTTCATCAAATTCACCCACACGCCCTAGGAACGAGTACCGCTATGGATGGACCTGCGTGAGTTGCCTGATATTGAAACAAATTAGCTTCTTGGCTAAGAGTGATGGTGTAAAGTGCTATTGTTACTCGCCTGAGATAAGCATGAACGAATACGGTTGCCTGTACTGTCGACATAGGAGATGCTTGGACTGCCGTGTTGCGACAGTATTGGTAAAGAAGGAGCGGAGGAAGGCTTGACATCGATCAAAATTGGCGGAAGTTAAACATTTCATCCGCTACTTTCTCAAGGCATGACACAACAAAGTTGTTCTACACTTAAGTAAGGTTTATTAGCGTCGATCCCAGGTAACAGCCTAAAATACCCATTATTGCAAAACCTACGATTGATCAAAAGTACTATTACTGGCTCAAAACTAGGAATAACTTATGATTTGAATAACGCGAGAAAAACATTAAACAATGACACGACTCTAAAGTAGAGTTCATTAGCGAATTTAGCTTTGCACAATTAAGTATCTCACCAATCCTTGTTCACATATACCGTTTCTCTATGGATCCCGTCAAATGGGTACTCTAGTCGGTTCACCCTTCCGCACACACCTCTTTCTCAATCATCACCATCGTCTCGCAATATGACAGAGCCCTCATAAGGTACTGTAGGGATTAGTCTCGGAGCTAATATCTTACCAAAAATCCCTATCAACGCTCTACCTACCCCCGGAAGCCATCCAGTGTCCGCCAGAATGCGGCTGAAAGCATATCATACACGACTTCCAGGCCTCCTTCTGCCTCAGCAAGCACGACCCTGTATTAGACCTTTTGAAGCATATCTCGCGCATTCGCTGTGAAAAGGAAGACGATCGGAATCCGCGGCAGGTCTACGAGGGTGCTACTACAGTTGGCTTCACCGGAGAGCTGTGCCTGAACCTACTCGGCAAGTCAGCCGACGAGTCAATCTTTGCAAGGTATACAAAGGCAGCTTCTTTGTCCCTTGTCTACTTTAGGTACCTGTCGGTCTTCCAACCACTCCCAACAAATACCCCTGTCAGAATGCAATACCCCAGTGATGCAATCCCCTCCTTCCTAGGCAAACAATGATTCTCAGCTGAGTCAGAGACAAAGCTCCGGGCGGCATTTCTAACTCCTTCCAAGTCCTCACCGTCTCCTGATCTTTCGCCCCCAAGGTTTATATGCGACCTTGTTGGCCGCAACATTCGTCTCTTACAGCCTACATGGCTCTATCTGCAACTATTCACGGCGAGTTTTCTCAACAATGAGCGCAAAAGTCGAGGAGGTAATGTGGTCACGTCTTGGCGCAGTGGAGGAAATACTGGAAATCACACATCAGCCTGCTTTGTCGATGGGCGTCATCCATCAGGGGAAGGAAGTTTTCAGACACAACCCGGGCATCATCAACCATGAGACTGGCCAAAAACCAGACAGCGATACTCTGTACTGCATTGCATCCCTTTCGAAAGCGTTCGTTTCTGCCGCTATAGACATTCTCGTCCAACGTCAGGAGCTGAGTTGGGACACAACAGTGGCCCAAGTTCTTCCAGGGTATGGTCGATATGATCAAGATGCATTGCTCAATGGCATGACGCTTCGAGACATCTGCTCTCATCGGACTGGCCTTCATGGTCTAGACGAAATAATTCAGGGCATGGACGGGCGTATCCTCCTTCCGAAAAGCGAGGTTGTCAATGTCGTCAACGCCCTGCCCAAAAAGTTCGGATTTCGGACAGACTTCCACTACAACAACGCCCTATTCGAATTGGCCGGTGCAATAATTGAACGTATTTCTGGATCCCAGACCTGGGGACACTTTCTCAAGGAAGAGCTGTTCGACCCACTAGAGATGAAGCGGACAACGGCCTTTCGCAGCGTCCACAAGACCGACGACAACATTGCTACGCCATACATGTGTCTGACAGACGGCTCGCTATGCAAAATAGCACCCACCGAGCTATCTGCGGATTCTATGAACGGTGGCTCTGGAGGACTCCGCAGCTCCGTGAATGATCTGCTCAAGTGGTGTTCCAGCCTGTTGGCATCCTTTGATGAGAAATGCACCGCCAACCCCATTCGTCACAGATCACCAATCTTTGATTGCGCCAATATGGCCAATCCGAGCTCTGTTGAGGATGGCGACTACTGCACCGGGTGGTGCTATCACCAAACCCCCTCGAAGCTGGGATTAATCTCCCCTAATCGAAGCCTGCTCTCACCAGTTCTCGGGACCAATTCTGAATCCTTACTCGTCTACGGCCATCAAGGCGACGTTCCCGGGTATACGTGTTCCTTGTATCTTATCCCAAAGACTCAGTCTGCTATTGTCGTCCTATCCAACGGTACTGGCCTCTCTGACGCTACCGACTGGATTGCCCAGGATATCCTCCAGGCGATGTACAGCCTGAAGCCAACCGTGGATTTTGTCTTCACTGCGCATCAGGCATCCATTCTCTACAAGACCACGTTCAAGAGGCTGTTTCAGTTGCCTCTCGAGGAACATAGAAAGATGGGTACGCCTACTCCGCCCTTGGACGACTTCACTGGGGAGTATGTAATGGAGAACCTGGACATCGCCACTCTCAACATCAAAGCTGGCCCGGAAACCTCATCAACTGGTCTTCGAATGAGAGTCAATGGTCTCGCGGACCAGGAGTACTACTTGTGGCATTATCATGCGGACGTATGGTGTTATCTTCCGGAGAGCGCTGACCAATGTTTGAGACGTGGTCTCGACAGAAGTGACTGGACCTCATACCTTATCTCATTTCAGAGGGATGCAGAAGGTCAAGTCGAGAAGTTGGGATGGGATATGTGTGGTGTGAGTGTTGTTTTCTACAAACGAAAATGAGATTATGGGAGCACCGTTGAATCTTGATGAATGGTGAGAGAATGGAATATGAAGCTGGTGACGGGAAGCAAGGATGAAAAGGCGCAGCAAAGGCCGTAGTTACGTTAATTAACTTCAATTGACAAGACAACCGCCCAAGCCGGGATATCGATCTATAGCTTCTATACACAACTCTCGCCAGAACAACTCCCATGACCCAAAACGCCATCTAAACCATCTTCTATCCTTTGCTCTGAAATGACCCAGTCTAAATTCGAAGAACAGCAATACCGGAGATAGTGCGATTATCGTCAGAGAAGATCTTCTTCTTCTCAGATCCATCCACATTGCAGCGATAAATGCTGCCGCCAAGATCGCTGAAGTAAACATGTCCGTTCTCCTGGTCCAGCTTGACACCGATCGCCTCATTGAGATGTCTCACCAAGATCTCATACCTCTTGGACCCCTCAGACAGCAACAACAATCCCGTCATAGGATCGATATTCGCCCGATTGAGCGTGTTGCCCTTGGGAATCTCTCCACGGTCGGTCCAGAAAATAGTATGTGTCTCCTCGTCAACTTCCAAGTCAATCGGCTCTGGCAAGTCGCCAAGGAAACACTCGATATCGTCTCTCGTCTCAGCCGTCTTGCCTGCCGGCATCTCAATGTTCGCGCAGAAGATGCGGCCCTGTCCGGACTTTGGCGCGCCCTTTTGGGTCCAGTAGAACATGCCCAGCTTCGGCGCGACGGAGATACCGACGCACCAAGTCTTCAAATCAGAAGCGTCGTTGCCGCCAATGATGAGGGTCTCGAGGTCGCTTCCGTCGAGGTTTGAGCGGTAGACTTTCATGCCCTCGCGGTCGCAGAAGTAAATCTTTTTGGAGGCCGGTTCGATGACGAGTTGCTTGGGAGTGTTGATGGTCCCGGGCTCGAAGAGGGACTTGACGTCGGTGCCGTCGAGATTTGAAGAGAGGACTGCGCCGTCTTGCTTGCCTGGTGTACCCATGCACGTCCAGATCATGCGCTGAGTGTCGTTGGCGTCAATGTCGATACCGTCGGGGACGTGTTGCCGGTCGACGAGGACACGCTCGAGCTTGCCTTCTGACGAGAGTTGGAGAACCTGTCCAGAGGCCGAAGCGTCGTTTTCGTTTGCAAGACCGAGGTCGAGGGCGACGATCTTAGGGAGATGGGGGTACAGACCGCCCTTTGATGACTTGTTGCCGAGCCGGCCTTTGGAGATGTACTCGCGCTGGAGGAAGTCGACCGTGTTTTCGGGAGACAGGCCACGCTCCTTGACATAGTGGTCCTCGATGAAGGCGACGGTGTCGAGACCGACCTCTGTCATTTCGTTAGTAACTTGATCCGTGCGAGACTTTTCTTTTTGGAGAAATGTTGCACTTACCGTCCATCATCGTGCAAGGTCCCTTGCCGTGCTTGCTGAGCTCATAAAACAAGGTGTCAATCTCCTCGGGGCTCGAGACGCCCTCGGCGAGAATTGACAATGTCTCTCTCTTAATCGCAGCCCATAGCCGGTTGAAAACAAAACCTGTAGACTCCTTGCGCGCAGTAAAAGGCCTCGTTCCAACCTCCTTCTGCCTCTCCGTCATGAACGGGAAAATCTCCGGGTTCGTGAAGCCGTCCGTCATCAGCTCCACGACCATGTTGTGCGGGGGCATGTAGTAGTGCGTGTTCATGATGCGCGTCTTGGTCTCATCTCTGACTTTGCCGAGCATTTCTGAAGATCTGTACGACGATGAATTACTGGCGAGGATGGCGTCTGCGGGTGCGTGGGCCTCCAGGTCGGCAAACGTGTCTGTCTTGATCTGGATTCGTTCGGGGACGGCTTCAATGACGAGCCAGGCGTTTGCGACGGCGGTCTCGAGATCGGTGAAGACTTGGACGGTCCCAGGGCGCTTACGGCCTGATGCTGGGTATGTGTCTACATTTTGCTTGACGTAATCTAGGCAGGGCTGGTGTTGGTTGGAGTCGGGTTCGCGGACCTGAACGTTGTAGCCGCCGGATGCCCAAGTGCAGGCTGATTTGGTATGTTAGTTTATTGATCAAGGAGCATGGTTAGATGTAAATCGAACTCACCAATGCGACGGCCAAGTACGCCGCCTCCCAGCACAGCAACCGGGCGGTCGCCGTAGTTTGATGGTAGTGAAGTCATTGATGTGTTGGAAATGACAGAGTTGAGAATTAAAGTAAGGGTTCAGGGTCTAATGATGTAAGATCTACAGTGCAGAATGATACATCAGAAAAGCCAAGACGGCAGATGAACTTATATATGCATCAAAGACAGGGTTACAGATCAGTCTAGAAGCTAGAGAAAGCTTCCGTCGAACATTTTGGCGGAGCACATCGTCATTCCCCTGAGCGCTCGCAAGTCGCCGAGGTTGCCGGAGACCCGTCAAGTCGGTCATCGTGGGTCCCGATAACGAGCCTGCAATCCTTAGTAAGTGGTCTTGAGCGGTCTGGTTTGGTGGCGCGAAGCAAATAGCAGAGGGATAAACGCATTGACGGCTGTGGGTATGACGCAAGTTTCGATGATGGGCCTTGGACTATGAATCGGGTTTCGGTGCCGATCGCGGGTCGGTGTCGCCGGTACAGGATCCACTTTAATATTGAAAACGTTGATTTCTCACCTGGAAGTCAAAAGGCGCGTTGCGGTGTCGAGAACTACGGGGTCGCTGATGGAACAAGATTACGATAAGTACAAGTTCAATTCCGTCTTATCATGATGAGCGCGAAACAGCGAGACAGTGAGCAGGCTTGCGAGCAGACGCTATATTTGGTTTGGGAAAAAGAGCTATATCTCAAATCCGTGACCTCGGCATTTGGTGGGGTGGGCCCGTTCTTTTGGTTCCGGCCTCGGCACCCGCAAGCTTGTAAAGTGGGCCCATAATGTCCCGGCCTCGGCAATTCCAAGAATATCTGTCAGGGTCCGCGTCGGTCTCGCTCTGGACGGAGGGGGTCTCTCTGAAAGTGCCGTGCGACGTGGGGGCAGTTTGAATTATTTCCGATCAGGTGCGGCCCTTATTCCGTTGCTTGTGGTCTGTCCCGATTCGAAATACATCCCTATCCTCCCCGGATTCCGTTTACTTCGGTGTTCAGCATTTCTGCTTTTGACCTCCACACGGCTTGCCTTCGAATAGACTCAAGACACAGGGAACCTACCTCAAGCGAAGTCATGGTCATCTTGCGTTGTGTAAAGCAATGGCCTGGACTTAAAATCACGATCGACCAATCTTAGCTGCTCATCAAGACATTTCCATCAACCGCGAAAAATCATCATGAATCCAGTTTTCAACGAAAGGCTCAATAAGGAACTCTTGATTTTCACTATAGCGTCATCTTCTGTAGCCAGTGAATACAATATCTCAACCATTTTCCGCACGCTTTAGTACTCTCAGACTTGCTCATCGTCATCCTTCGCAATAGGTCCCTTGGTGATGGATCCAGTCTCCCCCGCCTCAGCATTGAGCACACGCCGCTTTTCTTCCCTATGCGTGAGCAGGGTGAGCCCACTGGTCCAGATAATCAAGGCAATCGAGCTGGCGATCATGGCCCACATGCCCCTCTGCAGTCCCAAATATCAGCACACGTTTCATTCCCAACAGTCTGGTTCTCGAACCCTCACCGGGCAGAAAAAACAAGAGGGTTACTTACGGTAAACCACGGTGCCATTGAAGCGCCGTAGAAGATGATGCTCCACCACGCGTTGACGGCGTTACTGCCCAGATTCATACCCGCGAGAACGACGCCGCGGAAGATGCCCTCCTCGTACCTCATCGCATCATTGCACCATGCGAAGAACGTTGCCTGGCAAGCATACACAGCACCAGCCCAGTAGTACGCGCCAAACACGACCGATGTCGACGCCGCGCTCGTCGGGTCCCGGGCTGCAACCAGAACCATCGCAGACGTCGCCACACCAGTGATGCCGATGAAGTACGCAACGAGGTAACGCTTTCCGCCTAGGAAATCCGTCAATGTCGCCCAAAAGAGCGTCGAGACGATGCCGACGGCGGGTACGCCGGTGGGATAGTTGTTGAGCTGGGCGACGGTGTACTTATGCGTGGGGTGGCTTTTCATGTACAGACCCAACAGGGAATTTGTGCTAAAAGACTCTGTCTCGCCGGCAATGATCCAAAGCATGACGAAACCCCACCAGTACCACGACGTGAGCACCTTCTTCGCGAAGCGGAACGTCAGCGGCGAGCGCTCCTGGATCTCGGGCACGCGAGACCGCGCCAGGACCTTTTCCTCTTCCGTGAAATAGAACGCCGTCGTCGTGTGGGGCGTATCGGGGAAGCACACGAAACCATAGATGGCGACGGGCACAGTCATCAGTCCGTCAATGATGAAGAGCCAGCGCCAGCCGGAGAGGCCGTGCAGACCGTTCATGCTGCTGTGGATGCCCGTCTGAATGAAGCCGCCGAAGAAGGTTCCCGCGAGGCCGGAAGCCGTGAAGATGCCACTGCGCTTGCCGAGCTCGCGCTCCGTGTACCACGCGCCCAGGATGTAGTGCGTTCCGACAAAAGTCGAGGCCTCTGCTATGCCTTGGAAGAAGCGGATGGCCATGATGGATTGCGGGCTGTGCACGCTGGCGGTGCACATTGTCAGGCCGCCCCAGATGATCATCATGAGGGGAAACCAGATGCGCGGTTTGACGTAGTGGAGGGACAGGTTGGATGGGATCTGTCCGATAACGTAGCTGGACGGTTTGTCAGTTGTTGTCAAGGAGCAGTGAGAAGTGCAATCTGATGATAAGCTCTAAACTTACCCGACTGTGAAGCATGTATTGATTTCGTTGAGTTGATTCCCCACGAAGCCAAGCTCCTCCTTCATACCGGAAACGTATGCATTGTTCAGATTGGTACGGTCAAGCTAAAAGGACCTATTAGAAACTTTGTGCTCATCACGAACACCAGCAGAAATCTGGGAAGAGGCATTGACTCACGTAGTTGACCAGGTAACTCAAGCAACAAAACGTCAAGATGAAGAAGTCAATCTTGGAAACGAGCTTCTTCTCCCCTGGTTGATACTGCACATTCAGATATTGGCGGACTTTCTCGAAAGCCATGTTGGGCAATGTGTTCGGCAAGTTATACTGCAAAGAAGCAAGCCTCTGTAAAATCAGCGAATCAACTGATGGATTGCCGATTTGAAGGGATGCGGTGACAAGTCGAGCAGCTCAAGCACACCGTACACCGTGGTAGATGCACCCGAACGCTGACCGACGTGAAGTTCTTATGGGAATTGCAACCGTAGACTGTTTGCACCTCCTTGCCAGCAGTTCCCAAGCTGCCAAAGACCTAAGCTTGACACTTATCGCGGGCCGATATCTCCCAAGAGATAAGAAATATGGTCACAGGAATAAAGAGCAGGGGTCTTGCGATAGGGCTGGTGTTGTTTTTCCCCCGTACGGTAATCGAGACCGGGGGATAATAAGCGTCACAGGAACCGTTTAGGCGTTCTTTGACATCCTGTTTGAGTATGGTTTCTTATCTCAATGGCTTTCGCTGTGTAGGCGATCGGTGTTTACCCGACTCAGTTGAGCTATTGTGGGCTCCCTGTGTTGGTCGGCTCTTGTCGCAAAGCGTTGTGATTCGATGTCCCTGTTGCACTGTGAGCAACCAAGGTGCCGTTATCAAATGCTGGAGATCGCAGGCACCCCGCAACGAACCAGAATGGAACGATAAGCTCACAGCTCTCCCCGGAGACGTCGTCCGATGGTTGTCCGAGAGGTTTAGCCAGAAGCTAGGAGGCTATAGTTCAGCCTCTTCAAAACACGCCGGATACGCCCTGGATGTGGTCGCGATAGTTCAGACGCGACGATGTGGTGTTGCGTAGTGCTTCACGTCGTGGTGGCGAGCGTTTGCGATGGCGACCGTGAAATTGAATGCGTCGATGGAAAGGCTCGGCGATATCGTTTTGAGAGAATTTTACGTAGGGCTAAGGCTCTTTTAGACGCGTCCCACTTTGCTAGAGCGCATTCTCAATTGACTTTTGAATACCTGATGAAGAGAAGTTCTAGAATTGAACTCCACCGTCTTATTCGAAAACGCCTTGAGCATCTACGATAGTACATGTACTATTCGTAGGTTTTACCAGTGCTGCGGGAAAAGAAACCCGGCAGCGATCCTCACGGTCACATGGCGGCGTTTATTCCGGTGCGACAGCGGAGCTAGGTCGTTAGGTTCAATCTGAAGACACTGGCTGTCTGCGTCATGGACCATAATGAGTAGCATCCGAATTGCCCTCCCGCGTTACACGGGGCGTTAGCTCAACTAAGACCACCACTGTTGGCGGTTTCTTTGATTGATTGTAGAGAGCTGGCACGCGCGGGGAGGACGACTTAGCGTCCTTTCCAAGACTAGGGGGCAGTCCACACTCCAGCATTGCCCCTCCATGAACGTGCTTCGAAGGATGTCTTTACCCATGGGGCCGTACTGGAAAAGTACCCGCTTCTACGCAGTAGAGCTCATCGAAACAAGTTGACTTTTTACAGGCTTGACAGCCTGTGGTCAAGCTTATCAAGGTGAACTGAGTTGGTGGTCGAAATCTCCGCACGCCGTCTCAACATGAATGTTCCCCGGCTGTCTTATCTGTCGAGACAACAGCCCCCTTGCAATACCACAGTCCCCGCGGATCCGAACTGACACTGTGACCCGTCACTTTGGTCACTCTCCTCAGATCTCGGGCGATGCACCCCGAATCAAATCACCGATGACCGGCGGCGCTGGGCGGTTTGTTCGCGCCATATCGCTCCTAGACTACGAATGGAAGTAATACTTAGGCCACCAGTAGCCGTTGCTGGTCTTATTTAACAGTTCCGGAGCCGGGCTTGATCTGTCTAAACTCAACTTGTGAAGAGGCTATCGTTTTCCCTGACCACCTGGTTATCTTATCGTACGCGAACCAAAGAGACATCCTCATACGAAACTATCTCAGCCAATAGGTATTTTACTATGGGAAGCATTAAGACCGAGACATGGGAATTGGCAGCCGCCAAAAAACGAGAGTCACTCGCGGCGTCACTCCCATCAGAATGGCTTGTTCCCAAGAACCTACTTCCTCCGGATTCCCAGGACGACGTCACATCGTGGCCCGAGACTTTGGGTTGGTTCACGGAGAAAGAGCTCGCCATCACGAACAGTGACGCCG